ATGGACCTCCGGAAAGTCCTTGGCATTATACCCCAGTCACCAGTTCTTTTCTCAGGTATGCTCCAAACACAATCTTGGTCATAATTTAAGAATATAGCTTTGGGTAATAATCTGATGATTCCATAGGTGTTTTGACTAATAACAATTTCTGCCTTTCCCAGTATTATATATGTTCTTATTTTTATATTATCATCCCTAATTGGAGTTTTTTTTTCATTTTTTCTCCCTTCTCTTTTTTTTTTTTTTGGCTAGGAACTGTGAGATTTAATCTTGATCCTTTCAATGAACACAATGATGCTGATCTTTGGGAGGCCTTGGAGAGGGCACATTTGAAGGATGCCATCCGGAGAAATTCTCTCGGTCTTGATGCTGAGGTACTTTTTGAAATTTCTACTTGAAACTTTGTTTCTTAAACACACTTTGTATGATTATCTTGTTTTTATGTTCTGAATTGATTTTGACTTCATGAAGGACTTTTAACTGTGATCTTGGTGTTTTGTAAAGGTTTCAGAGGCAGGGGAGAATTTTAGTGTGGGACAGAGGCAACTTTTAAGTCTTGCTCGTGCATTGTTGCGGCGATCAAAGATCCTTGTTCTTGATGAAGCAACTGCAGCAGTTGATGTCAGAACTGATGCTCTTATTCAGAAAACCATTCGGGAAGAGTTCAAATCATGTACCATGCTAATCATTGCTCACCGTCTCAATACCATTATTGACTGTGATCGTATACTGCTGCTTAATTCTGGCCGGGTATACATTCCATTTAAGTCTCCCCTAGTTCACTTTTCATGTTTGTTATATTTTTCTTGCTACCATTTCTAGCCAGCATTCAGCATGTTTGAAGTTCACCAAGCATGCACATGTCAAAGCAGATATTTTGGACTATTTACAGCATTTTTTTTTTCCTGTTTATTCTATTGATGTAGTTCAGTTTTTTGATGTGTCTATACTACCTTCACACAGGTTCTGGAATATGATACTCCAGAGGCATTGCTGTCCAAAGAAGGAAGTGCTTTCTCCAAGATGGTGCAGAGCACTGGAGCTGCCAATGCTCAGTACTTACGTAGTTTAGTACTTGGTGGTGAGGGAGAGAACAAGTTGAGCAGAGATGAGAATAACCAATTGGAGGGACAAAGAAGATGGCTTGCTTCTTCTCGCTGGGCAGCCGCTGCCCAGTTTGCAATTGCCGTCAGCCTCACTTCCTCACACAGTGACCTGACAAGGTTAGAAATTGAAGATGAGGACAGCATCCTCAAGAAAACCAAGGATGCCGTGATAACTCTTCAGGGAGTCTTGGAAGGAAAACACAACAAAGCAATCGAAGAGTCTCTGGATCAAAACCAGATTTCTAAAGATGGATGGTGGTCAGCACTTTACAGAATGATTGAAGGTATGTGAAGAAAAACTGCCTTGGTTTCCTCATATCCACCAACAAGAACCTGCATCTGAACCAATTATTGGATGTTCTATCATATTGTCTTTGTTTTCATTTTTCAATCTGATTTACAACATTTTCTTTTCTCTCCCTTTTCAGGTCTTGCTGTGATGAGCAGACTGGCTCGCAACAGGCTTCACAACTCGGAGTACGGTTTTGAAGACAGATCAATTGATTGGGACCGGGCAGAAATGTAGGATGTAGTATCTCACCAGTTTTTTTGCGTTTGTGTGTTATCTGGGATTTGTCTAAATGTTTCAATATCGCAAATGCTAATCACGAAAACTTACTAAACTTTTTGTAGTTGTATAACTCAAATTACAAAGTTTTGGATTTTCAAATCGATAGTTCATATATTAATCTATGTACAATCGTACATGAATCAGTAAAAGAGAATCAAAACAGCAAAAACACATTTGTAGGTTCTGGTTTTTTAAGAAAGAATTACGTTTTCAATTAGAAAATCGTCGTTTTTAAATTCACATTTTTAATATGAGGTGGATAAAGTTAGGTCCCATTTTAGCATGGCATGGATACAAGTTACGATCAAGTTGGATTAACAGGTGGAAGACACGCATAAAGGAGTGCCATGTTTTGTCCTTTGGAGCGTAAAACTGAAATCCTTTAATGGGAAATAGTTTTTAATGTCATTATATCTAGAGTAATAATATGATATAGTTTATGTCGTCGTTCAAAAAATATATATAGTTTTTGTAATTTAATTCAAATTGTTGAACAATATTTTTAACTCATGATCATTTATTGATTATTTAAATATTATTTAAGTAGTTCAATATTAAGTCCTAACATAAAATCTAAAAATAAAAAAATTAAGTCCTCCCAACTTTCTCTCTCTCCCTTTTGTTCCTTTCTCTTACTTCTTTCTCATTCCTTCCTATCTCTCTTATATTATTTATTTTTCTCACTTCATTCCATACATTAAATTTACTATTTTACCCTTCAAGGAGATTTGAAGAGGTTCTAATAATCTATTTGTAATTTTTTGATTGGTATGGATGCAATTTGATCTTTAAGGCAATGGGGTCAATGTATATATATATATATATATATATATATTAATCTTTCAAATTTAATGGCTTTTTACTTATAAATTCTTTGATTTTTTTGTAATCTAATAATAATTCTTAAATCTGCTTTCTTCCTATTTCTTTTTAATAGTGAATAAGATATTCAAAAATGTATATCTACATGGAAGGAGAATGAAATTTTTTGTGACTTGGGATACCAATTTTGTGAGTGACAAATGACTCACTTTTGTGAGAAGAAAATAAATTTTTTCGACTTCGAGAAACAATTTTGAAAGTGATAAATGATATGTTTTTATTGTACAAAAAAATTATCTCCATATTATTATCCATAATTTTATTAATGGCTCCCTATATTCTCATACTTGAATAGATTTTCTTTTCACGTGCAAAATTTCAATTCACATTGATTCGTACAGCACTGTTCGGGGAGTCGATAAGCTAATTCCTGTGGATGCCTATCTGCCGAGCT